GAGTCAGTATGGTGGGCAGGCCCGGTGCTCCTGTGACAATACGAGCTGCTGTATTAGGTAGCTGGTGTAGGAGGAGCCTGACAGTGGTCAGAGGTCATCCTTGATGCAGGACAGTCTCTCCAGGGCTGAGGGCTCTGGTCCACTCCTAGCAGGAAGGAAATGGGAAGGTGTTTCCTTTTCCTCCAACACCTTTGAGGCTGTAGAAGAAACCCTAGGCTTGGTCACACCTGCCCTTGTGACATCATGGGCATCTCTTCCTATATCAGCTGTCCTGCTCCTGCCCAGCTTACAGGAGCAGCAAGCAGAAGGGGATGATCACCTAAGACCTGCGCCCCTCCATTATGGGAAATGTATGTGTAAGACGCCATCAGACTCGCTCCTCCGGGTGTAGGGAGATGTCCCACACGGAGGGAGGACCTGGACTACTCCCCACGCATGCAAGGTGTGGGGGGCAGTACTGTGGGACTTTGCACAGTGGCTGGCCCTCACTTATGATCTCCCCATTTTGATTGCAGAGCTGTGCCCCAGAAGTAGAAGTAATACAGGTAGAACAGAAAAGAACACAACCGCAGGTAGGTGGGTCCAAGGAGCATAAAAGAACTGCACGCTTTAAGGTCACTAAAATGGAGGAGCCATCTCTGGTCTCACAAGGGTTGGCTGAGCATTGCTTTGCATCTACCTAATCCTCTCCCTCTCCTGAGTGAACTGTTCACAGCACGTACAGCAGTGAGGCCCAGCACAGCAGGTGGTAGAAAGACAAGTAAGGGCTGGCCTGGGTCTGCAGGGGGATGGAGTGACTAGACGTAGGCACAGATGTCAGTGGAAGCAAAGAGAGGCTGGACCGAGACGCCTGTGGAACTACATGAGACATCAGCGGGCAGCGTACTAGCCTGGTTCGGGAGTGAGGTGCAAGCGCAGATACAGAGGCTACTCTTCGTGAGGACCCTTTGGCTCATCACACACACAGTGGGTCTTTTCCACCAGAAACTGTTCTGCCAGGTCTATGAACCTGTGAGTCCACAAAGCAAGGGTTTCCCCACTTCGTAAGTGAGCACATGCAGCTCCGACAGTGAGCACAAGTGGCTGGAGAGAGTGACAGGATAGAAGTAGAGAGGAAACCTCCCCAGCACGCCCGTCCTGCCAGTGTC